TTATCATCTGCTACCCCCTTGTCAGCTGCTAAGTACCTTTGGGAGGATTTCAGTTATGAATTTCATATACCTTTTACTGCCCCCCCCCCATATCCCTATGGTCTCTGGCAATCTTAAATTGCCTGGAGAGATGCCTGAGACTGTGGCTGTCAAGGTAGTCAAGGAATGTGCTGCAGGCCAGGTGGTGGGTCCTTTTAGAGCCCCTCCCATCACTAATCTTCACATTTGGTGTACTGGTTAAGTGCACAGACTCTAATTGGGGAGAACTGGGTTTGATTCCGCACTCCTCCACTTGCACCTGCTGGATGACCTTGGGCAAGCCGTAGTTCTGTTGGAGCTGTTCTTGAAAAAGAGCAGTTACTGTCAGAGCCCTCTCAGCCCCACCTACCTCACAGGGTATCTGTTGTGGGGAGGGGAAGGGAAAGGAGTTTGTAAGCCACTCTGAGACTCCTTTGGGTAGTGAAGGGCAGGGTATAAATCCAATATCATCATCTTCTTCTCAAAAAGGATAATGGAGAGTGCAACTAATACACCACCTTTCTCAGGGGCTCCCCTGTCAATGAGGCCACCCCCCAAAAAAAATTTTGCTCAGCCAGGTATGTGGCCTTTGACCATGACATCAGCCGAGTTAGATCATGTGGCACTGGTGCTCTTATGGCCACATGTGACATCCCACCAGATTTCTGGCTGCTGCCTGTAAACCCTGGAGATTTTTGCTTGCTAGGCTGTAAGTTTCAAGGGTCTTATTATGTGGATTAGATCAGGCCCACGGGGTACTTGTGGCCTGCACATTTAAAACATTCAGTACTTTTCTGGAACAGGCCATGAAGGAAAAGACAGGGAGCCCCCATATTACACATTACTTGGATTACTACCTGTTTGTGGGCCTGGCAAAGAGTGCCACTTGCACCATGTTCCACAGCCTTTCAGTCCTTGATGGCTGAGTTGGGACTCCTGCTAGCCCAGGGGGAAACCAAGGGTCCTGCCACACAGCTAGTGTACATGGGCATCCAGCTACACTCGTCCTCCAGGACATTCAACTTCCCTGGGGACAAGCTGTGGGCCCTTAAGGCCTTGATTTCCCTGGCTCTCTCACACAGGAATTGTATCCTAAAGGAGCTCCAGTGCCTTATGGGGCATCTGAACTTCACCTGTAGGGTAGTGTCCCCAGGGTGGGCTCTCTGTGCCTGCCTGGACAGGTCCACTGCAGGGGCAACTTCCCTGCATCACCATATCAGGTTTACCCAGGGCATGAAGGAAGCTCTTCAAATCTGGTGCACCTATTTGCCTAACTTTAACAGCATCTCTTTCTGGCAAGAACCACTGGATTTAGCCTCAGACATTCAAGTCCGGTCAGATGCCACAAGTAGCATACGGTTCAGGGTCTGCTTCACGAGGTGGTGGCATGCCCAGCCATGGCTACCTCAAGGAGCTGAATCTGTCATTTTGTGGGACCTTTCTTTTTGGAGCTCTTTCCAAATTTATTGGCAGTGATCATTTGGCAGGAACACTTCAGGGACAAAAGAGTCCAGTTCTGGAGTGACAATCAGTTTGTTGTGTGGGTCATTAATAAGAGCCATCATGCTCATAGCAGATCATGCACCCAGCGAGCAGATTTGTCCAGGTTTGTTTGTCTGCTAACATAACATTTTCAGCTCAGCACGCTGCAGGTATCGATAGCAGCATCATGGATCCTTTATCTCACTTTCAGGAACAGATTGTAGCCTGGTGCTTGAGGTAAACCACCACCTGGATCTGTTCCCAGAAGGACTCTGGGCCTTATAATCTGTAATTCAGGGGGTATTAAACTCCATCGCTCCTTCCACTCTGCATGCCTACTATGAAGCAGCCTTCTCTGCTAGCACCAGCACCTGGCCAGTGTCTGAGACCATGATCCTCCAATACCTGGCCTTGATGTGGGATCAGGGCCCTGTACCTAAAACCATAACAGGCTATTTGGCGGCCATTTCCTTTTTTTACAAGACCTAAAGCTTCCTGGACCCATGCACCTCTTTTGCTGGCCTCCAGGCCATTGAGGATTGGAAGAGGTTCACCATACAGGCACCTCACCCCCGCAGACCCATCATATTAGCCACTCTCTCCTGGCTCATTTGTTGGCTTCGAGTACTATGCTGGTCGGCATTCGAGGATAAATTATTCAAGGCTGCCTTCATGCTGGCCTTCTTTGGGGCTCTCAGGGCGGGAGAATTAGGGGCTGGTTCATGCAGGGACTGCTCTGGCTGCATGTTGGGGTGCAGGACATTGCCATCAGTTGTTCTGAAGTCTGCCTGGTTGTCATGCTATGCAAAAATGACTGGAAAAGTAAGAGTGCATGCCTGTGTGTTTCTGCAAAGTACCTAGTCCAGCCCCTTATCCAGTATGGGCTACCTTGGCTTTCCTGTCAGTATGGCTTCCAAGGCCCCCTCCTCATTCATTTGGATGACTCTCCACTCACCACGTACCAATTTATCAGCATCCTCAGGGCCAGCCTGGTGGCTTCAGGTTTCCCCTGGAGAATTTGGGGCCCACTCCTTCAGAATCAGGGTGGCTACCACCACTGCCAGACTGGGGCTTCCCCCCTCCTGCATTCAGGCCATTGGGAGGTGGAGGTCTTCTGCATACAAAACATACATTCAACCACATTTGGAGGTTGACTACTAATGGTTTCTACTTTCAGCTCATTGTCAGAAGTTTGTCTTTTGTCTGTATCTGTGGTTACAGCATCGTCCAGTGGGCTGGAATCCACATGGCATCTATCAGCTAGGGTAGGCACTTGCGTTTGGAAGAAGCAGCACACATCATGTGGATTGTCATGAGGGAGAAGCTTTGGGACTTGCTTGTGCCTATGGTTCTGTATTGTGCCCCCTGGAGCGGGCCTCCTGATGCCCTGGTTATCCAGTTGGGGGGAGAACGACATTGCAGCTCTCAGGAACCTCAATCTAGAGTGTGTGGCCAAAGCCAACCGTCTCTGTGATCTTGATTTCCCAGCACTCAGTTTTTTTGGTCTGACTTGTTGGAGAGGTATTTATGGCACGGGGCCTGCTGCCCAGACAAGACGGATATGGACAGGAAGAAGGTCACCAAAGCAGTGGGCCAGGTAGTTGAGACCTTGGGAGGTCATCTGATTCTCATCTGGACATCTACTTTCAGCATGCAGCATTATTCTGACCATACAATGTCCATCTGTCAGAGTGGTGGTACAAAACCTGGCTGCATGGGATTTGACATGAACTTATAGTTGGGTTGCAGCTGTAAGAACTTTGGCAGGAGCCTGGTGGTTTCCCTGCCCATCTCTTGTGGCAGTATCTTAATGGGGCCAGATCCATTTTCTGGGGAAACATGGCCTATGCTCCTGTTTCCCTATCTTTGGGGAACTCCTCAAGGGATTTGGAGGTAAGAGAGGTCATGGCACCTTCACTCTCAAGTGGCAACGGAAACCATGCAATGGCTTGTGCCCACATGGAAGCCCACATCCTGCTATGCCATGGTAACCCCAGCACGAGGGCTGGGGGTGGGGTCTATAAATCAGTCTGCAGGCAGATCAGCCAATGCCAGGATCCATTTCCCCATACTGTGCCAAGGCTCTGTCAGCTGTAACCAATAAAGTTGTGGCCATTTAAGTATCTGTGGTCTCTTTCATGTCTTTTGGGTTAGCCTCATCATCTCCCTGTCTGTCTTTAGTGCTGGGCCCACAAGCAAGTGCCACAAGAACTACTGGCACTATCTTACAAATAAATATGTTTAAGAATAGCATAAGCAGTATTTGTTTTACAACAGAACAGCTTTTCAAGGTAGAAGAGATATTTTCTGTGGGTTTTACAATATGGAGTTAGGTATCCAATTAGACCAGTAGTACTGTAATGTTACTCTAATGTAGCAATAGAATGTCATCTTGCAAAACGCAAGTTGCATTTATAACCACATCATATCATGCTTTCATTATATACAAACCAATTAGCATTAATTCTCTAGACAAACATCTAAAAGGCAAGCAGGGCATTCTTTTAAAAAACGAACTTAATAATTATTAAAAACTGGCATTATAGCAGGATTTATAACAGCCAAACTGATTAACAACTAATTAGCTTAGCAAATAATATTATCTTTTCTGAATATATTATATTGCATAAATCCATGTAAGAAAGAAAATCTGTTAACAAAGAAAACAAATGGATGTCAAGCTAAGTGTTTAATAACAAGCTATTTTTAATTAGCTAAATCTTAAAAACCGGTATTATTTTTCATAGTAAGAAATCTCATTTTCATTTTATTATAGAAAATATTATTTAATATGACTGTCACCTTCTGTGGAACAGTTATTTATGGCCCTGCCAACCTAATTATTATTTATTCTAAGACTTTCCTTAAAATCACAGCTGCCATTCACTAATGAGTCCAGAAAGGTTGCAAACAAGTTCAAGCTATCCATGAAATTATTTGGATGAAAACTGCAGAACTTGTCAGTCTAGTTTTGATGTAAAAATACAGCCTTATTATCTACCTTCATTAATAATATATAAATTATCCATAAACACTCTGGAGGAAAAAAGGGAGGAGAGGAAGAGTGAATGACACAGCCTCCTGTTAGAAGACTGAGAAAGGACACACTTGATTGAATTAAATATTAATACTTTACTCAATACCATTGCACCAATTTACATTGTCCAGAGCCTGGCACAGTGATTTCACAAATAATTCTTCTATTAAAAGTAACATTCTCTTTCCGAATTTTGGGAATGATTCAGTACTTTCCTACACATGTCACTGGGTGCACATAACTCCTTCATATACACCAGTGCATGGTGGAAGGCCAACAAAGGATGTGATGGGGGCCAGGATTGCTTCCTGAACATTTTTGCTAAAAAAACACCCCACATTTGTTTGATAAAGCAGCACATATATGATTAGATTATTAACGTTGCTGAATTGAAATAACAGCTTTCAAGATAATCAGAAATTTAACTGATAAACTAAATTATTCTGTTGTCAGGATTACTTACCATATCCAACAGGCAACAATATCTTCCATGTGCAACCAAGGTTACTGGGATAGTTTCCTGGGAAGCCTGGGCTCAGGATTACTCCAGCTATATTTGTCAGAGTTCCACCACATTTAGCTTTTGAAAAGAAAATACATTAGTTCTTTTTAAATTAAATGGCTTATCCAATGATGAATAACTTAGGAAATACCAAGTAAGATCAATATAACACATACATAAAGGAACACATTGCCCTCTCTGCACTTCAAAGTACACAAAAGGCTCTTGTACTTCACAATTCCATGTGTCTGTCCAGGAACTGGCAGTAAGACAAACAGCCCCCCCCCCCCCCATGGCTCTTTTCTGTCTGAAAAAACATGCTGGTTGGAAGGCAGGGAATGACAAAGCCCCTCCTGCTCCCGCATGAGCACTTGAGAGCCCCCCCACACTACTGAAGACAAGTGATGGTCACATGTTAAACACAAGTTGGATTGGGGTTTCCCCAAACCGAGCTTGTGTTTAGCATCTTCATTAATTATACCCTGAGTGGGAGCCAGTGAATATAGAGTTTTCCAGGTTACTCAGGTGATGCAGTAATAATTGGTGAAACACTTGGAAAGGAATTTTACTTGTTCATAAACAGAGTGAATAGACATAGCATAAGGGACTGATGAAAATAGACCTACAAATGACATAATATATCAGTAGTGGACAGTTCATAGCTTACCAAGCCAAATACACCCCAAATAGAATTCTAGAAGCTAAATAATATTTAAACAGCTCTCTTGCTTCATGTCAGAATGCAACAAGGTATGAAATTCTCAACTTGGGAAAAAGAATATAGTGTTGGAAATGTACCACATGCTTAATCTATTGTTTTATCTGCTGTTCTTGATTATGATAACAATAATTAGCAAATATCTAGTGCATTTCAAGTATTTCAAAGACTTCAAACAGCAGATCTTTGAAGATTTGGAGTAAACAGGGGGAGAAGTAGTGGTTTGACTGAGATTATGTTAGTTTGTGGCTGAGGGGAGGGCAGAACTAAAGGCTTCAAACCTTTGCACTCTTCTGTTACTAGCTGTGTTGAGAGAATTGGTAGACAATACTTCCTCTCAATAGATGATAATGAAATATATTAAAAGCATATACTAAAAAGATAAAAACATACTTATTTGACAGGGAAAAGGGAACACCCTTTGTTTAAATTCAACTAATTGTGAATGGTTCCTGAATTTTAATTTAGTAGTCCAGCTTGACATTTTTCAATCCAATGGCCTTGCTCCCAGATCCAATGGCACCTCCTAAACTAAATTTACAGTTTTCTATTAATACAATCCATTAGAAGTATATGCTTATAAGAATATGTATGCATACCAATACACAGAGGAGAAGGATAGTTCCAACGGCGAACAGTTCCAGGCATACAAGAAATATGAGAACGTCCCTTAAAAAAAAAAAAAGCCCTGCATCATTTTTCTGTTTTTTACAGTTTTTCCCTGGTAATTTAACATAACAATTTAACAAGGCAACACTAGTGTTGCTGCTAAAATCCTTTTGCCAATTAATCTCCCGCTCTGCACTTTTACTACCCATGACAGTTTTCTAATTAAGGTTAAACAAAAAACTACTGCAATATTGAGAATCCCTTTAAAAATGGGAAACGAGTTGTGCCACATGTCTTAAGAAATTGTTTCACTACCACTGTTCTGAACTCAATTATTGCATAAGTTTGCAGAGCACTGTTGAGTTCTCCTTTTCATACTCTACTACACTAAAAAAGGCACTTTTTCAAGACCTTTTCAGTGGAGTGGCATAACATGAATGAGCCATATTGTCTTAAATTCACATACATGCAGAAATCTTTTTTGGTTTTGTACAAGTGCAACTACCATGGCTTCAGCCAAGATCCCTGGGAAGTGCAATTTGATGAAGATGCTGAGAATGTTGCATTAGAGGTAGAATATGTCCTAGTCCACTGCCATTTCCATCAAAAGATCTGCTCAAAATATATATCCCCTTTGCTTGATAGAAACCCAGGATGTTCAAATCAAGCGTATGTTAGAATGCTCCTCACGGGAGAAAATGCACAGGTTAGAGTACTCACTATGAAATTTTGTGCAGCAGTTTGCAAAGCCCGACAGAATATCTTAGACAACAATGAATAGTAGTAATCTATAGCAGTAATGGTTTTTGAACTTAAGATATAAACTGGTCTGGCATAAATAGTACATTAATTTTATGAGATAATATTGTTACAATTATGGTATTTATTCATCCAAAATAGGCTTTTTTGTACATAATTTCTTTAATGTATATTTGTACCATATTTTAAACGGAAGTTTATGTAAGTGTAATATCTTGTCCTGTGTTTATACTGGTCTATGGCTGTAATGAAGGATACTACTACTACTACCACCACCACCACCACCACCACCAAGGATATATGGTATTGCTGCCTTCATAACTACTGTTTCTTGGAAAGAAGGAATGACTATTGAGGTGGTATGTCCAGGGGTATTTGGGGCCGGAGCGCGCCGGAGCACGGCGCCGGCAGCCTAGGAGCAAGCGCAAATTGTGGTGTGGCAAACCCCGCCCCCACCTCCCAGCGCCTAAGGGCTGGGGCCAGGAGGAGGCCTGAAGAGACCCGCCACTGCGCACAAAGCATGAACCAAACCACAAGTGGATATGAACAGGGAGGTTGGTTCATGAATTGAACTGGTTCATGACCCTGGCTTTCTGGCAGGGAGCAGAAAGCAGGGATTCTTCCTGAGAAAAGTGGATGGAAGCAGAAAGCAGTGGGCAACAGAAAGGGTTAAATGGCTTGGAGTCATTTAAACCTCTGCTTTCTGCTCCCCCCCACTTTTTGTGGAGAGTAGAAAGCAGGGGTTTCCCTGCAAAAAGCAACGGGGAGCAGAAGCAGGGATTTAAATAACTCCAACCCATTTAAACCCTTTTTCCTACTCTTCACGAATCATCATAAACTGCCTTAAAATTCATGGAAGTACATGGTGGCTCTCAGAACTTTGGTTTGTGAACCACGAACTGACCAAAATTTGTCATGAATATTGTGAGCTGGAAATTTGTGAGCCAGTTCATGCCTATCCCTAACCATTTCTATCAACATAAATACAATATGCACTACCTGTTAAATATCTGTAATCCAGGTCCCATGACCAATGAATCCTCAAGAACATTAATGAAAATATGACAGTAAAATCAAACATTTATTTGGAAACTTGTTCTTTTTTAAAAAAAACAATGTTATTAGGATATAATAATAAGCTTCTATCAACATAAATACAACATGCACTAGCTGTTAAATATCTGTAATCCTGGTCCCATGACCACTGAATCCTCAAGAACATTATTTGCAAACTTGTTCTTTTTTAAAAAAACAATTTTATTAGGATATAATAATAAGTAAAATTTTATGTCATATAACAAACTTTTCATATCCTTTTATCCAAATATCGCACCCTTCATTTCTTCTCTCTACTCTCTCTCTTTTTTCCCCTCTTTCCTCCTTCTATGGCCCAACTCTAGTGAGGCCAGCTGGGGAAGGGGATGGGAGGCTTTTGAAAATGCCTCCCCCCTTTTGCTTCCCCTTCTGACATCACTTCCAGTGATGTCAGGGGGCGTGACATATGCTAATAGCCTAGTAGCTCATTAGCATACCATATGCTAACGAGATCCTGCAGCTCTTTTTCTACGAAAAGACCCCTGGGTATGTCCATTGTATATATAGCTAGATGTTAAATGTTAAAAAGCAGCCAGTAATGAATAGCTGAAAGTCCACTGAAGTAAATGGGTTTAAACTTGTCAATCTGTCTGCTGGGTAGATTGGGAAGTGCTAGAAATCCCAATTATTTGACCAAGTACTGTCAAATTTCTTTTTAAAGAGTAGATGAGTACATGGACTCTTTATTTGCTTTACACTAGCCTCAGTAGCTCCAGAGGTATGTCAATTACTGTTGAGCTAACCTCTATCACAGCCTACAAAATGGTCTGCTATGACATGCAATATCTTTGTTACTGGCTGAGAAGCAAGACTATGAGTTTGGAAAATGAAGTCTTCAACATTAATAAGAAAACTCAATAATGCAAGCAAGTTATTAGCATGGTATTTATGAATGCACATTTATTTGCTCTGCTGAGGTAATCAGAATGAGCAGCCAAACAATGCTAGTGGCAAAGATAATGGCTGGAATGAAACCATACTTTTCAAATACCCCTTGAGGGGCAAATTGGGGAAAGGTATGCATAGATGCAGGCAACACATGTCTAAAATAGTTCAGAAAGAAGAAATCCTTAGTATACAATTTGCAACTAAGGTTCAACTCTTACTTGTGAAAGTCTCAGTTAACTCAAAAAAAGTTACTCTCAAGCAAACATGCATAGGCTTGGGCTACAACTTGCTCTACTGAATCAAGATGCAAACTTGTTCTAAATGATCTTTTTCTCCACTTTTATATAGCTAGATTTTTTTCTTTAAATCTGTAACATATTTTGCTCAGGTCATTTCCTAAAATATGGCAAAGAAAACAGCTAATGTAGTTTCTTTAATTGTAGCAAATTATGCTGATGAGGGGAAAGTACAGTTCATGACCCTGGATTTCTGCTCCCCACCATTTCTGGCAGGAAGCAGAAAGCAGGGGTTCTTCCTGAGAAAAGTGGAGGGAAGCAGAAAGCAGGGGGTTAAATGGCTTGGAGTCATTTAAACCTCTGCTTTCTGCTCCCCACCACTTTTTGTGGAGAGTAGAAAGCAGGGGTTTCCCTGCAAAAAGCAACGGGGAGCAGAAGCAGGGATTTAAATAACTCCAACCCATTTAAACCCTTTTTCCTACTCTTCACGAATCATCATAAACTGCCTTAAAATTCATGGAAGTACATGGTGGCTCTCAGAACTTTGGTTTGTGAACCACGAACTGACCAAAATTTGTCATGAATTTTGTGAGCTGGAAATTTGTGAGCCAGTTCATGCCTATCCCTAACCACTTCTATCAACATAAATACAACATGCACTAGCTGTTAAATATCTGTAATCCTGGTCCCATGACCACTGAATCCTCAAGAACATTATTTGCAAACTTGTTCTTTTTTAAAAAAACAATTTTATTAGGATATAATAATAAGTAAAATTTTATGTCATATAACAAACTTTTCATATCCTTTTATCCAAATATCGCCCCCCTTCTGACTTCCCACAGTGCTCAAACCCCTATTACATTCTTGAATTTTTCCTCCTTTTCCAATTCTTTAACAACATAATTCTTTCAGGTAACGTAACTTTTTGCTTCTTGATTTTTAAGCTTTCTTGTCATTTTGTCCATCTCAACCATAAAAAGTAACTTTTTCAACCATTCCCAGATATCGGGAGTTCTTTCTTGCTTCCAACATTGAGCGTATATCATTCTGGCAGTTGTAATCATATACCATATTAAAGTCCGTTTTGCAATATTAACTTCCTCCATTTTAAGTCCCAAAAGGAACACTTCAGGTTCCTTCTTAATTTTACATTTCATTATTTTTTCCATCTCCGTATGGACCTCAGTCCAAATTTTTTTTGCTTTATCACATGTCTACCACATAAGGTAAAAAGAGCCTTCTATTTTTTTACATTTCCAACATTTGTTTGATAAATTGTTACTTATATTCAGTATCTTTTTTGGTGTCATATACCATCTATACATCATCTTATAACAGTTCTCTTTTAGATGCAAACTTGTTCTAAATGATCTTTTTCTCCACTTTTATATAGCTAGATTTTTTTCTTTAAATCTGTAACATATTTTGCTCAGGTCATTTCCTAAAATATGGCAAAGAAAACAGCTAATGTAGTTTCTTTAATTGTAGCAAATTATGCTGATGAGGGGAAAGTATGCAGTACTCTTCAGCAAGCAGGACAGCAGTTACTTCTGCTCACTATGAATGGCAGAGAAAGATTGATATTTTCATTTTCATGAAAAGAAGTTTAAAAGTTTATGTTCCATTTCACCAAAAGGGTTTCCACAGTAGGTAGTACAGTACCACTATTAAATCCTGGGAATATGAAATGTGAAAGCAACATATACAACATCTTGAAGGAGAATGGAAGTACCTGTAATGTGTATCCTGGCTCACACTGAAATGACAAAACATCATTCACCATATATCTATCGCCCACTTTGAATCCATTGCTAGGAATTACGGGTTCTGGGCAGGCAGCAAGGCCCACAGCTAAAATAAAGGGAGGAAAGGAAACAAACATATATTAAAATGTTTTGCTTTTGTGTTGTTTTGTTTGTTTGGTTAGCACTTAAATTCATCTAAGTACTTTATGCAGAACCAAATAAAAGACAAGTCCCTGCTTGAATACTTACAATCCAAGGCACAGGAAGAAAAGGAATGAGGATGATAATAAATTATTTCTTACCAACACAAACTGTAATTTCCTGGAAGTGGAAAATGCCACATATGATTTGTTTACAATTCAATAAAATTAGTTTTAAAATATGATGTTCTAAATGTTTAGTCACACACATGGAAAAGAGGCATATTCCTACTTTAATGAAACTGTTCAAATATTTATGCATACAAGTGAGGGGTCAGCAAGGACTTGGGGAATCTTATTTCTTCCCATAGCTCCCTCTCCACTCTATCTTTGCTTTCCCTCCTTCCCTCCCACTGGCAGGTCTTACAGCTTGTCCCCTTTGTCTCAGCCACCTACCTATATTTCTCTGTTTCTCCTTCCTTTTTATCTTAACTGCTCATCCAGCCTCCCCTCTCCCCCTCTTCTTGCTTCCTTCCTTCTCTCCTTTCCATGTTTTACCTTTTTCAGTCTCTCTCTATACTTCCCGTCTTGGCTAACTTGAATCAAGGCATGGATGCTGAAAAGTACTGAGATCGGAGACCCAGCATAGTGAATCAGCTCCTGTTTATTGGATTACATCAGGAATGAAAGATACCTTGGCCGGGCAGTGCCCAGCTTATATGCGTGCCCCACACCACACCCATACACACCCATCACCCATGATTGGCTCTATTTACAAGTCAACACCTTAATAGGTCTACTCTCAGATCCAGGCAAACCCATTGGTGCACTCTAGGATATGAAATGGCTATTGTCTTAGGATCGAAGGTTTGTCGGATCGCATGGCCAGACTATCACCGTGATGGCCATCTTACTGCAGCTAATACACAACAGATGCCTCAGCAACATGGTCTGGGGTTTCCTAGCAACCCCCAAAATGGCCAGAGAGATCTTCCCACATAGTCTAGTGAAGTGTCTATTAGCATAGTCTAGTGAAGTGTCTATATTTTTGGGAGGAAGTTATACTCTCTCAAATTTATTTTGTTCCTAGATTTCAGAATTTTCTGCAGACCTGGGGCTTCCTACACATCTGTTCCTAGCCCCATTATGCAGATTTTTTGATCTGCACTCTAGTGCCAGGTTTAGACCTGCATCTAAATGTCCAAAAGGAAAATACTGCATAGTATGATCATGCTGTTCTATAGTAGGAAGGGGACTGAAGTGAAAAAATAGTAAATCTATCAGCATTGGGCAGACCAGGGAGGAATTTCTTAAGCCACATGCTTTAGAATATCAAGCAGTGCCTTTTTTGCACAGGAAATTGCCTACTGCATGCTCTTCACAGGTCATCTAACTCTTTTGGAATAGGACATAAAACCCATTAATGTCAATATTGATAACTCTCCCAGTGATCTCATCTCAGTTCCTGCTTGTTAAATAATTTTGTCATTCCAGCTCTGGCACAAGACATACATCCATGCACGTCATTACAGTGACCTCTAACATTTTCTAGGCATCACTGCCATGAATGACAAGAAAGCTCACAGCACTGCAATCTAGAAAATGTTTCTGAACATGTATTAGTATTCCTTGCATGGCACCATCAACTAGCCAAAATAAAATTCCCTAGGCAATTTGATCCAGTGTCAGAACAGCATTGTTTCTCACTTTTTCAGTATAGTATAGTCTAGTAGAATGTAAAATAAACAGTATACAGTTTTTGCGGCATGTCAGTATTTAAGTTTTATGAAGTACCTATTTGCACTGAATAGTGTTGTTTTTTGGTAATAAAACTATAATATATGTAATTCCTAAACTTGTCCCACCATACATATAAAAAAAATCTGCATAATGGGCCCACCCAGGAATAGACGAGTTCACATGAGAAGGGAAAAAGGATTGATGGATTCACTTTACTCCATAGAGTTTTTATCTGAAATTCTTGCTGAACACAACACTGCAATGATATTTTTGTGTATCAAAGCTTCTTCTCAGAGCTGTTCTTACTCATGACAATTGCTGTCATTTATACAACTTCTTTGACTAAAATTTAAAGTAGTTCATAATTATGGCATTTCGTGTCATGTATTTCACCAAGAAATTTTTAGCTGATGTTAAAACAAAAATAATCTCTTGATTGCAGTGTTTATATCATTCTTTCCGTACAAATGTAATGATCTACAAGTGAAATATTCAGAATTCAGTTAGTGAGATAATATAGTAAAATTATAATACAGTAAAATCAAATCGGAGTAAATAGGAATGAAGTAAACAGAGAGGAACGGCAATGGCATTCAGAACTTACTCTCATTTGATTTTTTGTAATTTCTCCTCAGGGAGATGATGATTTTACATTGTTGATCTGTTGAAACTGTGCTTCTACCCTGAGGACTCTTCTATGAGGATGATTTGATGCTGCTAGATGTTTACACTGCTTTTACGCTCTAGCTTGGTTTTAATAGTCTCTTAATTTGAAGGATTTTTATGTTTTACAATTTACCTTGTTTTACTTTGTAAACTGTCTCCAGCAGGTTCTCTGGAGACAGGGGGAGAAGTGCAGAAGACCATGCCAGCTGAGTACCAGCAGTTGACTATGTTTGTCTCTTTTCTGCTATGGGCACTTAAAGCCTGGGTATACACAGAGACATGAGCCCTTGGGCATCGGCTGATGTATCTGCTCTGTATTCAGTAGCCTTTTCCCCTCCTTCTCCTGTTTGATTCTATTGTAATTTTTTGTATTGTGTTTGTGTGTATTTTAAGCTGCTATACGTTCAACAAAACACAATAGTAGTATATAAATTAATTAATTAGTTTTATCAGGAAACCACAGAAGTCTTTGTGAAACTTTGGAGCCTTGCAAAGATGTCTGAAGGCTCCTAAAGGCTTCTGGAGTCATCACCAATTCCCATAGCACCAGCCCATAAGAATGTCGGCAGACCCAACAGCCATTTTCCATCAGCTGTCAGAGACCAGGTGTGTTCTACCATGTGAAGGGCTGTAACAAGGGTTGCCAGAACCCATTTTCTCCCCAGCGGGGAGATTTGGGTATGTGTGTTGGGAGGTAGTGGGGCCATCCCTGACATGATAACATCACAGAGTGACATCATCACACCAGGAATGCAGCGCCGCACACACACACCCTCCCCACTTGGTACCTAAAGTTATCCTGGCACACAACTCCTGATAAAAATAATTAATTAGATTGTTTATATACTGCTTTTCTTTGTGGACCGCCACATAGAAATCCTGGTCTCCAGAAGCCACCCACCCAACTTTCAGAGCTGCATTTATTTATTTAAAACACGTATCAGCTGCTTTTCTCCCATGTGGAACTCAAGGCAACATACAATATTAATAAAAAATAAATACAATAAAGCAACTGTTATAAGTCTATAAAAGTCACAGTTTAAAAATTCCAGTTAGGAATGCCAATAATAAAAGCTAAATCAATAAAAATGCAGTCCTAAATAAAACTGTCTTCAACTACCTCACAAAGATTGACAATGAGGAGGCCAGAGATGCATCCTGTAGTCACCCATTTTAGGGTTGCCAACCTCTGGATGGGGGTTGAAAGTCTCCTAGAATTACAACTGCTTTCTCTAAGCATTCGTCTCTGGCTATAAACTGTTTTGTAGGTGCAAGTATACAAGTTATTCACTGTTAACCCTTTCTGAGGAAGTGAGGTTTTCTTATGTTTTAAATACAGTACATGTATAATGTATATAATATATATGTATATAAAATGCACTCCTAAATAAAACTGTCTTCAACTATCTCCTGGAGATCGACAATGAGTGGGCCAGGTGCTCCTCCTGTAGTCATGTGGTGGGCTTCCCCAATGCTGGCCCAGAAGGTTCCCAAGTTAGTGTCTGGGGTGGCTCTGGCACTGGGAGTGGGCCTGCTGCCAAATAACTCATAACAAAGATGTAATTGGGAGCATCATGAGGTTCCTGATGCCTCCAACCCAACTTACTTGCTTCTTCATTGATGCAGGCAGGCTTGGAAATACGCAGTAAAGAAGATTCTTCCTCCTTCATCCTTTCTTAAACAGCACCTTATTTACAGTCAGACATTTTGGGAACATCATTTCCCTGTATACAATGGGCACCTCAGCTGGTGATATAACAGCAGGGGAAGGAGGAGGAAGAGTCCTCTTTGTTCTGATCTGGATAGCCCGATCTCGTCAGATCTCAGAGCGAAGCAGTGTTGGCCCTGGCTAGTATTTGAATAGACAACCTCCAAGGAATACCAGGGCCGTGATGCAGAGGCAGCTATGGCAAACCACCTCTGAAACATCTCTTACCTTAAAAAACAAGTCTAGTGGTGCATAACACTAAAAGAGCTAGAACTTCTGGCTGCCAGACTATCTTAGGATCTCCTAACTATACTATGCACATTGCCATTATTGATAGGCAAAGCTGAATAAAGGGTTATTTGGGGGGCTGTTCAGCATCAAATGGCTGAGAATTGTATTCCAAGCATACGTTGGCAATTCTAAACCATGACATAAACAAGAACTAAACATTATGTTAAGTGGGGAGAGACACTATTTTAAAGAAAACCACAAAATAATGTGCATTATACACATATTCAACAACTATTAAATTTAATTATGACCAAGTGTAACCTTTCTATTTATAGAACCTGGCAGCTTAGAGATAGTGAAATACAAAAGATGGCAATGTGGACTAAATATTAGAGAGTTTCTGAGTCAAATTTCACACCAGCTCTGAACTCACTAGTAGCCTCAGTCTTTCATTTGCAGAATGGATAGAACTGTACTTTAATGCCCATCAAACAAGTTGCTAGGCCATTATCATTTAGACTTAAGGATGCATTAACATGAACATTTTCAGGGGGGTTCTTTTTTATCTATATCTCATATTCTCTCCTCCTTACTGCTATTCAAAAAGTTTATGGGTTTTTT